ATGTTGAGTTTGCAGGTAGTATATGGAACAATCGTATATAATAAATCTATAAAAATGAGAAAACCTTTTAATTTTATTTTAACAACTGGAAAATAGTTTGCCATACAATCATTTTTTTGTTATAAATAATCATTATAGCTATTATAATTATTATAGATATATACTATAATAAATATTTTGCTATAAGTGCTGATCCCCATAATTGCTATAAGCACAGCAAGATTAAAAAACATTCAATACTTATTAGGGAGGTCTTTAATCCCCCAAAACGACACTGATGACAGCGCACTAAACCACTTAGCTACTAATGGTATGCATTTAGGAGAAAAAACAAACCTAATTATAAATCTCTTATAAGCTTATAAGCTTGTAACTTCTGGGGTTCCCCAAGGTTCCATCCTGGGCCCTGTTTTGTTTCTTATCTACATAAACAATCTTCCTGACAACCTTTTATCTAAAGTAGCTCTTTTTGCTGATGACTCAACTTTATACTCCTGTCTTGACAAAAAGTCTTCTCTTTTCGATCGCCTAGAACAAGCAGCTGATCTTGAATCCGATCTCACTTCAGTAATAGATTGGGGTTCCCAGTGGCTTGTGAATTTCAACTCTAAAAAAACCCAGTTGCTTACTGCAAACAACTACCGTAATATGGTCAACATTCCTATATTAATGAATGGCAATCCTCTTACTGAGTCCTCCTCTTTACGTCTTCTTGGATTATCGCTTACTACTGACCTTTCATGGAAACCATATATACAATCGATTGCTAAATTAGCTTCTGCTAAGGTTGCTTCTCTTTATCGTGCTTGCCATTTCCTTACTTCTGATTTCATTCTCTACCTCTACAAATCACTTATTCGTCCCTGTATGGAATACTGTTGTCATATTTGGGCTGGTTCTTCTAACGATTCACTTTCTCTTCTTGACAAGGTCCAAAGTCGCATTGTAAATGTTGTTGGACCTGGACTATCTGCTAAGCTTGAACCTCTTTCCCATCGTCGTAAAGTTGCATCTCTTTCTCTTTTCTACAAATACTATCATGGTCACTGCTCAAAGGAGTTATCATCTCTAGTTCCATCAACTAAAATTCATTCTCGTTTTACTCGTCATTCAGCTAAGTCTCATTTTTTACTGTATCTGTCCCTCCATGCTCTAAAAACTTTTATTCATCTAGTTTTTTTCCCCACACTTCAATCCTTTGGAACTCTCTCCCATCTTCATGTTTTCCTGACTCATACAACCTTCAACTTTTCAAGTCTTCTGTCAACCGTTTCCTTGCTCTATAACTCTGTTCTTTTTTTTCCTAGTAACTCCCAACTTAATAGTGGTTGCTTGCAGCCTTGTTAGGAGTGAATGCAAATAAAAAAAAAAAATAAAAGCTCTAGGTATGCTAAAAGGGTGCACATGTTAATTTTTTTGCTCTTGAAGCAATTTTTTAAAATGAATTATTTTATGTATGAATTATTTTATGTATGTAAAAAAATTGAAGTAAACAAATCATAGGTATAGAAATGATCGGTATGGAATAGATAAGTATAGAAAAGGTAGGTTTGGTAAAGAGCCATATTTTATGGGTCTGGAAAGCTAGGATATATATAGAAGGAAAAAGTATAAAAAAAATTAGTGTTAAATAGGCTTATAAAAACCCATATTTTTACGGGTCAGATCAGCTAGTTATTATTATTATTATTATTGTTATTGCTATTGTTACTAATAGTATATATATATATATATATATATATATATATATATATATATATATATATATATATATTGTATAGTTCCTGATGTTTTACTAATATTATTTTATGTGCATTCACCTCCCTAAAGTCAAGAGGACTACTACAATAGATAAGGCTACTCAAACACAAACCTTGAAAAATAAGGCTGCTATGCGGAGAAACAAGTCAAGTGCAGTATTACAAAGGATATGTTGTATACCAGACTTAAAACTTCTTGCATATGAACCAAGCATTCTACGACTACACCACTTCTGCATGTTTCAATGTTTTGTATAGTTGCTGATAATTGATATAGTTCCTAATGTTTTCATTTTGTCTGGTTCCTGAATTGTGATAAGTTTTCTGGTTTTTTGTCTGGTTACTGATATTTTTTATGATAGTCAGGTCAAGTCCAGGATTATCATGATCACTCTACTGCTGGTAATGTTTAACCCAAAACAACTTGTTTCATATCCTGCTGCCTTTCCATGACTTTCCTTTCAGCTAAAGGCTAGGAGAAGTTATTGTACTTATTGTAACTTAAAGAACCTTCAAGGGCTCTTGTTGAGTTAAGGCTAGAGATTTAAAAAAAAATTGTCTGATATAAACTGCATTCCACTACTGTCTTGTAGAAGGTCTCCAAAGAAGGCAGACAATTTTTGTAGTCTTGCAGCTTTTTTTTTATCTAATAAACTAGCAAAGGTGTAAATCTTTATTATTTATTTTACTTATTGCTTGTGCTTTTTTTGGTAATGGTTTTGCAAGTTTTCTTCCTTTTTTTGCACTTCTAATAGATATTTTATAGGTAACTGGCAATCTGTTAGTGATTTAATTTGTGATGGGCCTTAAGCTGATGTCTTTTGTGTCTCTGGATTCAGGCAGGCATGGAATCTCTCATTTTTATATTTTTAGTATTAGTTGTTTTTAATTCAATCCTCATTTTACCTCATGTATTTTTATTCATTATTTATTCATATATTGTCACTTCTTTTGCAGTTGCTATTTCTAATTGTAATTATTTTTTTTCATTTTGACAGAACAATTCTGTTAAAAACAAACTCATTCAGTCAATTTTCATAATCTCATGTTTTAAATCAGAAGGTTTTAGAGTATTGATAAATTTTTATGTCAGTAACATAGGCAAGTTAAAAATTCCATCTCATATATCTGATCTTACCTTTAGTATGGAAAGAATAGAATTGTTGGCAAAAAAACTTTAATTCTAAATCTTTTGAATCTGATATTCTTTAAGTAACTTTTTTTGACAAAAGTTAATTCATTTTTAGACATAAACAGCTTTTGTTGCAAAAGTTATTTCTTTCTTTTAAACTTTTCTATAGTTTGTGGTCCTGACAAGATTTCAATCTGAGTTTTATGTGTTCTCCGTAATTTTTATGTGTTCTCCATCAATTTTATCAATACTCTCTAAAACTATTTACTCAAATGAATTTAGTCACTTGTTGCTAGAAATATTATCATAGTTTTAAAAACACTGGAGATTGTTCTGACCTCATTAACTATTGTCCAGTCAAATTTTTTGCTGTTATTAGCAAGGTCTTATCCGCCCCTTTTATTTTGCTTTTTTGATTATTTTCAGTACTTATCTTTTTATGGAAGCTGTTTATCTATTTATTGCAAAGTAGCAGCTGTTAGTGTTTCTTTGTTGTGCTTACCAGTTACTTTCTGATAACTATTGATTCTCTTCCTCTAAAAATCTTTGTTTTTTTTGTCTTGCATGGAATACTGTTGTTGTATTTAGGCTTCTAAAGTTTTTAATTCTAAATTAATAACGTTGAGTTCTTCTAATAATGTTTTTTATACTTTTATATAAGATCAAAAAAATAATAATATATGTTATATATTATATTTATGAATGTGATTTTTTTATAATTATCAATATACTACCAAAATTTATAGCTGCTATTTTTAAATTTTTAGATTCTTAATTTTTTTTTTTAGGCAATGTTGATTTTTTAAATGAATGTCTAAATAACAAGGTAATAACTTTTTTTTAAAAAAATCTTAAATAAAATTATTTTCATGAATGGGGTATCAGTCTTATTGGGAATTGCAACAGTACACTAAAAATAAGCAACAAAATAGTTTATTCTTTGGTTTGTTGCTAACATTATTTAAAAAAATTCCTAACTCAGTTAAAAGCATATCTTTATCATTTTATGGATTACCCAATCAGGAACAGTTAATTTAAAAGATGTCAAGTTTTAAAACTAAATTTTTTACTTGATTATAATTTGTATTTACAGTTTTTTAGTTACTGAATTTTAAATTTAATCACAAATTTAATCAAAATTTGAATTTACAGTTTTTGTTTTGAGTTTTAAAATGATTATTGATGCTCGTCATTATTTTAATGTTATGATTTTTTTTTTTTTTGATGTAACTTAATAACTGTCTAATAGATTCACCTTTGAAAAGAACAAAAATAAATTTTTGAACAACTGAAACCAATTACTTTGTTTTTGTGGACCACTCTAACTAATTTTTTTTTTGCATATTAAGTTTTTGTTTGTTAAAATGTTGTACTTGTTTTAATCATATATTTTTATCATTTTAATTTGAAAAACTATATATTCGACATGGTTAACATTATGAATGAAGTAAGAAGTTTTTCATACTTAAAAGAAAATATATTTTTACTATTTTAGGTTTCAATTAATGGTTTAGACAAATCTGGCTCAACTGCTCTTCATTGGGCAGCATCAGGGGGTCACATGGGTAAATATATTGTGTTGGTCAGCTTTAAAATTTATTTAACATTTTATTTGATTACTTTTTACGTCCCTAGTGATAACCCCCTAGTGTTTCTTTAAAGGTTTAAAAGTTTTAGTTAGTTTTATTTTTTAAATACGATGTATTTAATAGTTGATTTAAATAATCAAAATATTTTTTGAAATATGCTCCATTTAATGATATATATGTGATTTGTCATAGGCTTTATATGTTCTTGTTAAAATGTTTTGTTTGTTGTTCTTTTTAAAAAAGATTTTTTAATGCAACTTAAATATATCCTTGTGTCTGTTTACTCATTAAATTCCATTTTTTAGGCAATAATTAAAAGTCTAAATCTGGAATCCCCTGTAACTTTATAAGCATTAAGATCAGTAACTAATTTAATTAAGTTGTTTTCCAAGGCATGAACCAGATTTCAAGTAAATTCTTTAATTAGAGTTCATAGTTAACAACTATACATATTTAACAACAGAAAAAAAAAAAGAAGCTTTGAACAGGTATTCTATATTAAGACTATGAAATTTTAATTCAAAGAAAACTGCAATTACAAGGTGAAATTCAATTTTGTGATTTTGTGAAATTCCATTTTTAGACCCTGTATTCAACGATGTGGTGTCACATATTATGACTAAATTGTATTTAAATTAAATGTCAAAATTGTTTAACATGTTATAAACTGAGTTTGAATAACTGAGTTTGAATTTCTGAAATTTTAGAGACTAAGTTTTTGCACTTGTTTGAAATGCAAGTGCTATATCTTCCTAATATGTGCTTTGTCTGACATAATTTTGAATTTTTTTTTACCCACTTACAAGGCTGTGGAGTCAGAGTCGTCCAGTCAGAGTTGCGACTTTAACTAGTAATAAAACTTCTCAGTATTGCACGTGCATATACAAAATATTTAACCTTCAAAGAATTTTTCATATATTTGCCAAAAAAAAATTTTTTTAATTATTGCATAATATTTTTAAAAGAATTCAAAGAATTTTTTAAAAGTTTTGTTTTAGAGTCAATGTTGGAGTCAAAGTTGTACTCTGAAAATTTCAACAATTGGAGTTGTAGCCAGAGTTTTTACTTTTTTTTTACAACTCCACACCCCTGGTGGTTTATTAAATATTTATTTCCATATGCACAAATACTTGGCTTGGAAATGCTTAAAGGGCAATGAATTTGAATTATAAAATTATAGTGTGATACTGATATACATCTAAAATATAAATTTAAAAGTTATTATCTAAAAAAGTTTAAATTTAAAAATATACAACTGATGTAAGCTGTCTAAGCTCACACATTATCTAAGCCAACACTGTATTGTATTTTTTATACTTAATAATATATTTTTTAAAAAGTTGTTCTTTTTATCTTTAAATCATTTTCATCTTTTGTAAATAATAGTAATAAAGTTGTTGGGAATTAAATCTCTCTCTCCTCTCTCTCTCCTCTCTCTCTCTCTCTCTCTCTCTCTCTCTATATATATATATATATATATATATATATATATATATATATTATATATATATATATATATATATATATATATATATATATATATATATATATATATATATATATATATATATATATATATATATATATATATATATATATATATATATATATATATATATATATATATATATATATATATATATATATATATATATATATATATATATATATATATATATATATATTGTTTAAGATAACAATTTTACATATTCAATCAAATGGAATATAATTAAACGCTGATAACAATTTTACATCTTCAATCAAATAAAGATAACAATTTGATATCTTCAATCAAATAAAGATAACAATTTTACATCTTCAATCAAATGGAATATAATTAAACGCTGTAAATCATACAATCCTGCATAAAAAATTTGTAAGCTTTGTTTAAATGAGAAATTTGAAATATTATTTTACAAAGGAGATAATCTGCTAAATAAAAGAGGCAAAGTAGTTTCGAAATGTAGACATAAAAATAAATTTCTTCTTTTATTATTTGATAGCGGAGATTAGTTTTCCATTACGTCTTCTTGACTAAGATGTCAGAACTCATTCTACTGTAGTTTGTAGTTTTTAAACGGTTATTTATATTTTTGATTTTGTACTTCATGGCTGATGATTGCCGATAGGCATAAAACTTTAAGTTCCATTAAAAGTTGCTTTTTCTATATTTAAGTATAAAACGCTTTGTTTTTAAAAAACTAAATATTTCTTAAATATTGAGCACTCTACAACGATCAAGAGTTTAGTATTTTTAATACTAAATCATACAACAACAATATAAACGCTCCTTTTAGTTGAGCACTTTACTCAAAATTGTCAAAGATGGAAAAAACAAACTTTAATTACTCAATCAAAAATATACCCATACCATCTGAAAAAGAATTTATACTGCAGTTACTCGAGAAAACTGAAGCTCTTATAAAAAGAATGAGATGGAAAGCGCTATTTTTTATTAAAAAACAACTCAGTGATACATCTAAGTTCAATCATTATACTAACTATGGAATAAAATCTTCAAAGTGCCCTCCACAAATTAAAGAAATGTCACTATTTGAAAAAGATATAATAAATCTCGTTAAAACTATCAAATTTCGCAATCTCAACAACACATTTTAAGAAAAGGTAAATAATGACATTAAATTTTTACGTAAATCTAATAAAACTTTAACTCCAGCTGACAAAACTTCCAACATGTACAAAATATCTAAAGATGATTACAACCACCTTCTAAAAAACGCAATCACTTCTATTTATAAAAAAGCTGATCCAAAACTAATGAACGTAGTAAATAAAGAAGGTAAGCAAATTTTAAAAAATCATGATATTTTTAATAGAATCGAGATAAACGGAACTGCTGATTGTTTTATAACTTTAAAAGACCATAAAGCCAACTTCCTAAACAACCCTACTGTGCGTCTTTTAAATCCTGCAAAGAATGAAGTAGGAAGACTGTCAAAGCTTATTTTATCCAATATCAACTCGGAATTAAGAACCAGACTCTGTTTAAACCAATGGCAAAATACGCAAAATGTAATAAATTGGTTCCAAAAAATTGATGATAAACACCTTTGTAAATTTTTAGTATTTGACATAAATGATTTTTATCCGTCAATTGATGAAAAAATACTTAATAACGCTATTACTTTTGCCGAACAACATATAACAATAGACGAGCAAAGCAAATCCATTATACATCATGCAAGAAAATCTTTCATTTTTAACGGTGGCATATCATGGATTAAGAAAAAAGCAGGATTGTTTGATGTTACCATGGGAGCCTATGATGGCGCGGAAATTTGTGAACTAGTTGGAATTTTTATTTTAGATCAACTTTCGCAGTTTTACAACAAAAATGATTTCGGTCTATATCGGGATGACGGGTTAGCTGTTTTCAAGAACAAAAATGGCCATCAAATGGATCAAATAAAAAAACGTGTCGTTCAAGTTTTTAAACGTAACAATCTCAACATCTCCATCAATTGTAATCTTAAAATTGTTAACTACCTTGATTTAACTTTTAATCTTACTCAAAATTCATTCCAACCATACTGCAAGCCTGATAATAAGCTAAGTTATGTACATGCTGATTCTAACCATCCACCTAACATAATAAACAATCTTCCAAAAAATATCGAGCTAAGATTGTCCGCCAACTCATCAAGTGAAGTTATTTTTAATAAGTCGACACATCTTTATGAAGACGCACTAAAGCAATCGGGATATGATTATAAGTTGGCATATAAACCAAGTATAACAAATGTTCCAAAAAATCACCACAAACGAAGTATAATCTGGTACAACCCTCCATTTAGTAAAAATGTTACAACCAAAATTGGTCAACGCTTTTTAACCCTAATTGACAAGCATTTTCCTAAAGACCACAACCTACACAAAATATTTAACAGAAACACTATTAAAATAAGCTACTCCTGCATGCCAAACATTAAATCTATCATCAACTCACACAACAAAAATATTTTATATGGTGATGTAAAGTTATCAGAAAAAACCTGCAATTGCATTAAAAAATCTCTTTGTCCACTGAACAACAATTGCTTGTCTAACAACATTGTTTACCAAGCCACCGTAAGCTCAAATAAACCTCAATACAAAGATAAGGTATACATTGGGATAAGCGAAACCTCTTTTAAACTACGTTATGCAAACCATCTAAAATCCTTCAACATAAAAAAGTACAAGAACGACACAGAGTTATCTAAGGAAGTATGGGATTTAAAAGATAACAATTTTACATCTTCAATCAAATGGAATATAATTAAACGCTGTAAATCATACAATCCTGCGTCAAAAATTTGTAAGCTTTGTTTAAATAAGAAATTTGAAATATTATTTTACAAAGGAGATAATCTGCTAAATAAAAGAGGCGAAGTAGTTTCGAAATGTAGACATAAAAATAAATTTCTTCTTTCATTATTTGATAGCGGAGATTAGTTTTCCATTACCTCTTCTTGACTAAGACGTCAGAACTCATTCTACTGTAGTTTGTAATTTTTAAACGGTTTTTTATATTTTTGATTTTGTTTTTTCTATATTTAAGTATATATATATATATATATATATATATATATATATATATATATATATATATATATATATATATATATATATATATATATATATATATATATATATATATGTATATATATATATATATATATATATATATATATATATATATATATATATATATATATATATATATATATATATATATATATATATATATATATATATAAACGTAAAAAATGTATATATATTTGTATTATATATATTATATGTTTTATACAAACACAATTTTTAATCTAATAATTTGAAACACGAGGTGTATTTGTGTAACACTTGGAAAAATTTTTTTAATATGTAATTTATTAATAGTTTAATTTAAATTTTTTTGTTGCAGCTTGTGCAGTTGCTTTGTTAAATGAACCAAATATTTCACTAGATGTTCAGGTATGTATTTTCAGTTATTTTTAATAGAGTTTATATATATATATATATATATATATATATATATATATATATATATATATATATATATATATATATATATATATATTTATACTATAGGGAATATAGATATGGATTTTCTACCTTTTTTTTTGCCCACCTAAGTCCATACCTTTTTTTTTGCTAAAATAAAACAATGAATTATGAAAAAAAAAGATGTCATATCCCAAATCCTTAGTTGATGTAGCAGCACTTGCATATTCTCTCTATTTAGTCAGTCAGTGTAAGCTATATTTAGTCAGTCAATGTAACCCCCAGCAGCTTCCTATAATCTCAGATTACCAACATAATTACGCTGTTAGATGTGTATGTGTGTGTAAGTATATAAATATATATACTTGTTTCTCCGCGGAGCAACCTTGTTCGTCAAGGTTCGTGTTTTGGATTTATAGAGTTGAGACGGGCCAGGATTGATAAAATATTTTTGCATAAACATTTTTTAATTCAAAATTCATGTTATATTTTGTATATATATATATATATATATATATATATATATATATATATATATATATATATATATATATATATATATATATATATATATATATATAAACATCATTATGATCAACATGATCATCATAATCATCATTATCATCATCATGATCATGATCATCATCTGATCATCTCCTCTTATGGCAAATACTATACACCATATAAGTACTAAAGTTTATATAAATATGAAAGGATATTGTCTAAATAAATAGCAAACATATATGTTTATATCCATAATATGTATGCATAAAGTGTATCTTGGAAGCTTTTATTCCTTCTGGAATAAAAGTTTGAAAGCTTTTATTCCTTCTCTTCAATTTTAAATCAAGCCTCATTATACTTCACATTTTTCACTATCTTGAGCAGTTGCTTTAGTAAACATTAATCATTTTTTTCATATTTTTCACAAGAATATCTCTCTTAAAAAAAATGTCCTTTTATTATTCCAAGAAGCCATTGTAAAAAGGTTCTGTGTGATATTAAGTTCTGTTATTAAATCTTTTCACTAAACCTAGTAAAAGTAATCTCAGTTTTCTAAATCTTTTATCTTATCTCAGATGTTAGATTCTAGAGACTTTTGGTAAATCTTCAACAGTGCCAACTATGTCATTAACTAAAGTAAGTCTAACATTTAATCTCTAATTCATGGGTCTGATTTTTTTACTTCTCCCCAGAATAAAGCAGAGTTATTTGTAAAGAAGTCTTACTCCAATTTGACTCTTGAATCTATTGGCCATACTCTTCCTGCCAGCTAAACAGATTAACCCATTGTTAAACATCCAAATTACTCTTTCTTCCAATGCTTAATTCTTAATTAAACCCTTCTACAGTTTGTACTCCAGAAAAGATTTCCATCATTTCCATCTTAAAAACATGTTCTCCAAAACTCACTTCAATTTTTGCCAAGTTTTTAAAAAGTGCTAAATAAGTGGTTCTGATTTTTTAAAACTTTAGAAAACACTTTGACTAACTATCCTACAATTATTTTTCACTCTGTTGTTAATTTCTTTTCACTCTGTTGTTTCTTTATATAGAGGTCTTGAGAATATTAAATTATTTCTTTTTAACTGCAGTATTAACGTTATTCTTGAAGGCCAATACGTTTCTTAATTTCAAGTAGTTTTAAGGGTACCACAATGTTTTATCTTTGCTCCTGTATTGCTTCTTATCTAGAATATCTATCTTCATAAAGTTTTTACATCTAAAGTGGTACTATTTGCCGACAACTCAACTTTAAACTCATTTCTTGACAAAAAATCTTCACTAATTGATTGCTTAGAATAAGCAGGCAATTTTTAATCTCATCTCTCTTCTGTAACAGCCTTAGGTTTACAGTGGCTTATATATTTAAATTCTGGCCTTAAAATCCAAAATTTTTGTTAGACAACAAAACTTAATATTCCCAAGTTTTGTTAGACAACAAAACTCATTTACTGCAAAAAAAGTTGCAATAATATTGGCATTCCTATATTGGTAAATAACAACCCTCTTACTCTCAGACAAAGTCTAAAAGCACATTGTAAATGTATTTAGACCTGCTTTATCTGCCAAGCATGAGCCACTTTCCCATTGTTGTAAGGTTGCATTTCTTTCTTTTTTCTACCAATACTATCATGGTCAATGCTCAAATTAGCTAATATCTCTATTACAATAAACCAAAACTCATTTTTACTTGGCTTCTTATTCAGCAACTTTAACTGTATCTGTCCCTTCATACTATAAAAACTAATATTAATCAAGTTTTTTTCCTAAATATCAAAAAAACCTTATAACTCATACCCATCTTCATGTTTTCTTTTTTTATACAATCTACAACTTTTTTAAGTCATCAGTTAACCGTTTCCTAGTATTTTAACTTATTTTCTATTTTAAAGTCATAATTTAACAGTTATTGGTTGCAATCTTGTTGGAAGTTTAAAAATATATAAATATATGCCAGTATTTAATAAATAGTAGATGTAAGTATAAAATTATAGTATATAAAGTATTATAAATTTTTTTCTAACACTGGCTATCAACCCCTGTTAAATCTTATAATTTTATTGGGGCAGGGTTTGCAAAAAGTCTTATTTTTAGCCGGGGCCCCGGTCACTTACTTCTGATGCCAATAATATATCTATACTCATATATAAACTTTACACATAGGTGTTGCCTATAATCTTTTTTGTTAGTTTACAATATCTCAAAACACTCTAAATGGTTATAACTTAATCACAAATCTTGAATAAACAAAGACAATGATTTATTTCTCTGACACTTTATTTATGCATCTTGTTACCTTATGACATTTTGTTATCTAGTAACTTAAGTAATCTGATATTTATTTATTTCTATAATTATAACTGTTTTTAATTTCTCCAAATTGGAGAAATTAAAAATAGTTATAATTATAGAAATAAATAATTTTCATACTCAATTACAGACATACACTTTAACTGTGTTAAAATGTAAAAAAAGTTTTTTACATTTTGTTCAAGAAGAGAATTCAAACCCTAAGTTATTACAAGACATACTAGAGTCACCACATTGGAGTGTTCAACTTAAAACATTTTTTATTTTTATTGTTTTAGCTATTTATTTGACTGAGTTTTTCAAAAAATTTTTGACTTTTCCTAAGGTTTTGAAACTTGAGAGATTTCCGTTTTTTTTTATTTTTTTTTAAACTTTATATTTTTTTGTTGATAAAATAAAAATCATTTTATTCCTAAACAATTGCTTTCTTCTTTTTTTTCAAGAATTGTTTTTTATCATTTTGTATGCTTGTGTGCTTTTTGGGCATGATAAAAGCAACTTACTTGTCTTTACTATGTTGTACTTTTTTGTGTTGATGAACAAACAGATTAACATCAAAGGCAATCCAGTTTTAAAGTATTACTTCACCTTTTCCCTGATGTCATTTATAAATAGGAAAATGATATTGTGGAATCTTGTAAATGGTATGTTCCAAACCTATGTCCCCCATATTGGCATTAAACTTGCCAATTTGGGGGAACTAGGCCTTAAATTTAAAGGAAAAAATTCAGGTAAAATAGTTAACTAAATAATTCAAAGATATTCATAGACAACTAAATAATTCAAAATAAATTCAAAATTTTTTTTTTTTTGACAAATCTGATCACTGAAAGTAGTAATCAAAAAAATCAAAACAAGATGAATTCCAAAATAATAGTTCCTGAATTTGTTTGACTAATTGAAACTAATTACTGAAATTAACTAAAGTAATTTGATAGTAATTAATTTAAGTAATTTGATTTTCAGTTTCTGAAGTTAAAAATTTATTTCTTATTTATTCTTATTTCTTATTTATTCTTATTTTATTTGTTTTATCATAATTATTTTATCTTATTTATTTTAGAACAAACTAGGTGACACAGCTTTGCACAATGCTTCTTGGAAAGGTCATACAGATATTGTTGAGGCACTTATTGAAAGAGGTTGTTTGACCATTGCTAAATATGATTTTTAATTTAAGTTTAGAGTAAAAGGATTTGTTATATTTAAATTTAAAAATGATAATATTAGAAACAATGTAAACAAGACTTTAAATATTTTGTTTCTTTATATATTACATTTTGGTAGGAGCAAATACAAGTATAAAGAATAACGAAAAAAAAACTGCATATGACTTAGCAAGAAAACCAGAAGTGGCAAAGCTCCTAAAAAGTTCTTCAAGTAAATTTGTTTTATTTTATTAAACCAAATTTTTGACTAGATTAAAATTTGAACACTATGTGTTAAACACCATTTTAATCTTGTACTTGCATTTTAAAGTAAATAAGTTTCTTTTATTTAGTAGGTTTTTATCTTAAAATGTGAAATTTTCTAAACTCAATTTAATAGAAATGTAATTAAAATGAACTTTTCGTTTTTGCCAAACTATAAACCCGTCATTGGTTTGCATAAGCACATTGTATTATGTAATTGTGAAATAAAATATGGAAATCCGTCTGTCCTATGAACAATAGTGAACATCAAATAACTCAACTTGTTTCTCTCCCCAGGGGCCTTGTTTTTTAAAGTTCTTGTTTCGGAGTTAAAAAGTTAAGAGAGGGCTGTAACCACAATGAAGTAACCTCCTCGACTATAGTGCCCCTCCTGGCCTTAAGGAAGTGAATTACATTAAAATAATAATAATAAATAAACAGGATTATAAAGAAAATGTATATTTTGGATTCCGTGAAACTTTACTAAAATCTGTATGTATGTATGTTAACCATCTAAAATCTTTCAACATTATTAAGTACAGAAATGATACTGAGCTGTGTAAAAAAAATTTGGGATCTTAAAGACAATAAGTTTACACCAGTAACCAAGTGGAAAGTTGTGAAAGGGTGCAATTCATACATTTGTTGAAAATCTGTAATCTTTGTCATACAATACTTTTTTCTGAAAATTGGAAACACTAATTAAATAAGTAGATTTTATAAAATATATTTATCAAGTTCATTAAATATAAAATTCATGTACTTATTACATGAACAAATGAATGCTTTATTTTAAATCAGGGTGTATCAGCAAGCTTAAAAATATCTTTTAATCCAGGCTAAGACAATCTGAAAAGAAGAAATAATGAACAGAAAGATTTAGAGTAAATATATTGATAATCTCAATCATCAAAAAGTTGTTTTTTTATTTTTAAATCTGAGCTAATGGTTTTCAATTATGTTTAATATGAAAACTCGAAAATTATGTTTAAATTAACTAAAGATGACAAAAATTAAAATAACTAAATAAAAACACTTACCGTACCACCAAAAGAAAACATGAAAACAAAATAAATTAAAATTCTAATAGAAACATAAAAATATTAATCCCCTTTTTCGAGTTAGTAACACTAACTCGAAAAAGGGGACATGTCCTGCAAAAATTCACATAACATGTCGCCTTTTTCAAGTTAGCAATTTATTTAAAGCAGGTTTAAATGGTGACATAAAGAAATATTAAATGTTTTAAATTAATTTAAACGCATTTTCAATTTTAACAACTTGATGTCATTTGAAATCTTAATCTATTTTACAAAACAGGACTAACCGTTTTTTCTGTTAAAAAAAAGCTAATGATTTTAAATTTTTGAGTAATTTTCTGTTTCTAATGTTTTGCAAGACCACATTTTTTCATTAAAATATCATTTTATTTTGTTTCTAATGTTTTGGAACATTTTTTATATTTAAATATCAATAGAAACAATAAAAAAGGATTAATTTTCAAGTAGTCTTATTATGTAAAAATATTTTTCTTTATATGTAATATTAATTAGTCATTTTTTTAGAAAAGTTACTGAATTCAGTAATCAAATTTGAAAAAATGTTATTTTTCATTTGGTTGCTAATGTTTTGGAGGACTGTGAATTAAAGTTATGCCATTAAATCATTTGATACAATTGTTTTTGTATACATTTTTAATATGCACATAAAAGAAAAGCTTCCCTCACATTCAAATAAAGTTACAGGATATATGCAAAATATCCTTAAAGCTTATTATTTTCAAATGAAGGAAATATTATTAGTTAGGACCTATTCTAGGAAAAAAATTTGGGCGGCAGTACCCGCTCATTCTAGCGAACTTTAGCGGAAAATAGGCGGGTTTTTGGCGAAAATAACAATAATTGCCGTAAAAAACGTAAAAAAAAAAATATAAATTCTAGACCGTACGGTCTAGAATAGCCCCTGTTAGTGTTAAAGATATAATGCTAGCAATAATCCTAAATAAATTTCCCAGTGTTTTTTCTCAAAGATCTAACTCTCCACTTAAGTCACTAATATCGGGAAAATCATCTATATAAGTATTACAGAAAGTTTTAACCTGTTGTCTTCAACACCCTTAAACCTGTTGTCTTCAACACCCTTAAACCTGTTGTCTTTAACACCCTTAGTTTTTTGGTTAAGATAAGTAATCATTTTGAATGAAATAATTATAGGAACAGTTTCTGGTTTAAATTTTATAGAACTTGATGTGTATATGATCTACAAGAAGGATGATAACAACTCATTTAAGTTAGCCAATCACAGATGTTGTTAGTACATTAGAAAGATTTTTTTTTTAATATAGAACACGTTCTAGGTTATATGGATTATGTTATTTTATACAGAATATTTATGTTATTTTTTAATAGAAACAAATACTTTTTTCAGAGCATAAAATAAAAAAGATAACATGCAAACCAATAACAGATGAATAATAACTTAAAATATCAAACTTCTGAGCCAATCAAAGATGTTGTTAGTACATTAGAAAGATTTTTTCAAACTTCAAAGTTTTAATGTTATGTATAAATACCAAAGTAAAATAATATCTCCAGAGATTTAATGTTTTGTTATGATTGTTATGTAATGTTTTGTTATGATTGTTATGTAATGTTATAATTTAATGTTAAACTTAATGTTATTTAATTCACAAACTGACAATTGTTAATGGTTGTGACAAGGTGTGTACAGTGCCATTGAGTTTACAATTAGAATATGAATAGAAATGCCATTAATGTTTATAGAAAGAACTAGCTCCATAATTCTGACAGTCTAAATTTTAATTTAAAATATTTATGCAATTGAAGTGCATTGGCACTAATAGTACTTAAAGTCACAAAATAAATGTTTTGAGAAAATCTACTTTGATCAGATGTATAACAGTTCAAAATAAGGATTTAAAATGGCTGATCAAAGTAGATTTTCTCAAAACATATATTTTGTGACTTGAGTGTTTTTAGCTCTAAGCTTTTTATATTAACAGTTTTTTTTATCTATACCTTCCTTATATTTCAGAAACTCGAGCTCTTTGCTCAAAAATAAGTCCATTATCTCCACATTTTAGACAAAAATAAAACATTTAAATATCTTTATCACGTTATCTTTTGATAAAGATAAATGTATTTTATATATTATTTTATATTTTTATTTACTTCATCTAATGCTCTAGTAGTTACCTTATTTTTTTAAGTTGTATATATAGTAGTTATATTATATATTTATTATATATACAACATATATAACTTATACATGTAATTTGCAAAAACGAAAATAGCAGTTTGAAAAATTAAAATAAAAAAATCAAAAAAAGATTCAAAACAAAAAAATTTACAGAAAAGGTCACGTAAGAAAACCTACTGTTGCAGTTATAGAAAAAATTTAATTTACAGAAAAGGTCACGTTTAAAAACCTGATGTTGCAGTTATGCAAGAAGTGAAATTTGTGAGAACAAAGTTGTTTGAAAAGCATATTTACAATATTTAAAACTTTACATGATATTGTTTTTTAAAATTTTTATAAGTAACTTTTAATCAAAAATAATCTTTCTATAATAGTTTCTAATGCTGAAGACTACGGTGCTGACGACGATGAAGATGATGAATAACGAAATATTATGTCGCCGTAAACCTGACCAAACGACGTCTTTGGCGGTAATATTAAAGACTACGGTGAAAACAAGAATAAATATGAAGAATAATTATTTCGACAAAAAGTTATATATTTTGATATGATTTGATTTCTTTATTTTTATACACATTTTTTTTATGTTTTTGCTTTTAATTTTTTTTATTAGTGTGAAAAGGTTGAGTGCGAATGCATACTAATGCATAAAATGCTGCTAAAAAAGAATTTCTTTCCGTTTGTTTATATTATTGTTTTCAAACACTAATATAAACAAAATATTATTTTAATTGAGTAAAAAATAAAAAGATTTTAATATTGAGTAAAAAATAAAAAAAATTTCAAAGAGTTTTTTGTGCAAATTGACGTCATGATGATGATGGCGACATGGTGATTTCACAACGTGTTAGATTTTTTATTTTCTTCTTCATATTTTAGGTGTTGTATATGTTTATTATGATAGATCAGCAGCCAATTTCTTGCTGAATTATAAATAACTCTTTATGGCACTAAAATAAAACTAAGTTTTTTAATAATTAACAAATAAAAGTTTTTAAATTTTTTTTTTCAGAAGAAATTTATATTAAAAATAAAGTAAAAAAGCATAATTATTATTATTATTATTTTTTTTTTTGTTATCCATAATTTCTGAAAATGTGTTCCAAACTTCAAAACCTAATTAAATTAATGTTATTAGGTTTTGAAGTTTATGTCTCTATAAATCGAGCTAAAATTTAAGGCCGTCTTATACTAATAAAATCAAAATTTTAAAAATGTCAATATTAATGATTTTTATATAAGATATTTAATTTTTATTTAATTTCATATTTTAAGCTAAAATTTTTGGGGTCAAGATTTTGAGTTTATGGACCCTAAATATGGACTAGTGGTAGGATAAACAGCCTGTGAGCTAATAATGGTCCATGAAGTTTTTACAACATTTTAATATCAGATGATTACAATCACCCTGCCAAAATCAAATAATTTAACAAAATGTTCAAGCTTTTGTAAGAACACTGGTTTAAGGCCTAAAATAAAGCCCAGAAAAAGGCTTAGAACCTAGGCCTTTTTTTAGGAATCAGTTTTACTATTATGAATTGTTTTGGTAAGGTAAATGTACATATATATAATGAACAACTCCTGAAAATTTTAACACAATCAGACAAACCAATCACAAGATATTTATTGCAGCGTGAAAGAAACCCACATTGAGAAAAATAATAGTTAAGATTTTTAATTAAAAATATATACAAAAAGTTGAGAAAATTATTGCAAAACAATAAGTCTAAAGTATTATTGAAAATACAGAAAAAAAAGAAAAATGTGAAAACTTTAATATTTAAAAAACATTTAACCAAAATAAAATTAGTTAATAATAAAAAGCTTAATTTTAAAATACAATAACTACGTTATAATAAATTTAATTAAAACAATAACAAAAAACTAAAATCTGAAACACTCCTGCTTCATAAGACTTTCATTTACTAAATCAATAAAATCTTTTTGTTGTGCAGGTAACTGCTTTGTGTTATGAAGACTGCTTTGTCTTCTTTGCTTTGTTTTATGAAATCTGCTTTGTCTTTATTGTTCTATAGAGTCATGCAACTTTTTTTGCATTATTTTTATTTTTTCTTGGTTGTCTTGGTACAGTACTGAGTAGTTATATTTGAATATTTAAATGTAACATTTTAATATTCAAATATGTCCAATATACCAGAAATACCATCATACTTTGAAATTACTGCTGATGCAATACTTATTTCTAATTATTTAGGTATAAAAAGGATGCTAAAAAAATAATTTTGAAAAAACTTGATTATTAATACATTTTCCCTAGCCACTAGCAATAGCAGTAACAACACCATTAAATGAGGAATTACCCCTTTTTTGCCAAGTCCCATCATAGAAAACAATAACATCAGCTACTGTATTAAGATCAAAATCATGTTGTATATCGATGCTAAATTATTGAAATTCATTTATTGCATTTTTTATTTTCACATTAGCTACTTTTTGATATGTGATATGAGTTTTATCTTCAATATAATTAAATGCTTTTATGTTCATTAAAGGAGGTAAGTTCATTAGACCACGAATTTTCTGAACCAAAATGACCTTTTCCTATCTCTCTTATGACGAAAATAGATCTATAATTAATTTTAAATGGTGACATTTCAGGACTTTGCTTTTAAATCTCTTTGCTCGAATAAAAAGACTGCTTCCATTTGCGTTCAAATGTCCTATTTTCACAAACATTTCACAAATATGTTCGTTTTTATATTTAAAAGTCAATATTTATTCACCGCGATCTGAGACATCAGTAGTTGAACTTTTTATTTTAATGTAAATAATAGCATGAGGTGAGGTTCAACCCAGATGCCAAACCGGAAAACAAAACCAAAAAAGTTTAAACCGCCATGAACTCGAAGACCCGTGGGATATAAACTTAGTGCTAGATGTTTGTGCGATAAGCTACGTCAACGTGATGGTTAGGAGTGTTTTGAAATATTTTAACTTACAGGGTTATTTTTTCTTATATTCGCATCTATTCATTTTTATATGTGTGTTTATTCATTCTTATGAGAGATTATTTAGTCATTTATGCGTTTTAAAGAAGCATATTCAAGAATTTGAATATGCTTCTTTAAAAGAAAAAACAGTTTGTTTTTTCAACAAAATTCAACAAACAAAATTTTCTTGTTTCCTGGTAAACGAGGTTAAAAATACTTAGGACGAAGACATTTTACATTCGAAGATGGTTCATTTAATTTAGTATTAGGTCTTTGTTTAATTTTATCATTAAATTTCTTGGTTGATTAAGTTATTATTTATCTAATTATTCATTTATCTAGATTTAAATTTAATTATTTATAATTATTATTAACATTAAATATTTACCCTATGGATGGAAAAGAAAATAGCAGTGTTAATCGTAAAACAAGAAAAAATGTTACAAAAAAGCACATTGAAATGCTGAAGCATTTAGTTACAAGGAATTTACAAGCTAAAAGGAGTCTACAACAAGCATTTCCACTTCTCTTAATTATTCTAAGCGCACAGTTCAAAATCTTGTCGTTAACAGAGGAGAATTCGACGATATAACTGCATTCAAGTCGTTTTCTAATAAAAAACGAGGTAAAAGACTTATAAACGCTCAAATAAAAAATATTATTGAATTATGCGTACAAGAAAACCATCTTTGTACGCAAGAACCGATAAAATAAAATCTTTCTACAGCAGGCAACATATCTGAGCCTACTATTTCAAGAAAACTCAAACGCTCGGATTTATCAAGAAATCATGTTGTGCATGTGCTAGAGGAACGAAACTCAACACGAGTTATTGATGCACGCTATACATTTTCAAGCAAAATTAACGGAATTTCAAATGAAAAACTTATTTATTTGGATGAAACTGGATTTAATGTGCACACTAATAGCACATATTCGCTAAGAGGTACGCCAGCAATTTTACAGTCGTCAACAAATCGTTTAGATTTGTAGACGATTGACATTTAGGCAAGAATGCTAGTTTAATTTGTGCTGTATCAACATTGGAAGTGCTGGCCTATGAAACAAAAACTGGAGGATAAAATGCAGATTCCTTTTGTACTTTAATTACTACAACCTTTTGTACTTTAATTACTACAACTTTTTGTACTTTAGTTACTACAATCAAAAAATATTTTGTGATAATAAATACATTAAAAATAAATAAGATATTTACCATGAATTTAAAAAACACTTTGTAAATCTTGGTTCCAGTCTAGCTTCAAAAATAGTGATGCCAAATAAGAAGTTTGATGAATTTATTGGAAAAAAAACCCTATCGTGTACATCAAATGAAAAAATATCCTATAAAGAATTTAACAAAGCTCTGACTGAACGAAAGCGAAATAAGTCATGCGGATATGATGATATTACTAGTAATGTAGCAATACACGTCATTGAATGTATTAGAAAACCCTTATTTCATCTAATATCGTCTTCTTTTGAACACAGTACTTCTCCTGATATGTTAAAAATTGCTAAAGCCAATCCTGTTTATAAAAATGGAGATTGTAATAATATGTCTAACTACCGTCCAATATCCCTCTTATCAGTATTCTCTAAAGTTTATGAAAAAATAATAAACAATTTTTAAAACGTTTATATGAAAATCAATTTGGTTTTCAAAAAAGATGCTCAACAGAACATGCTATCATTGAACTTACTAATAAAATATTTCAATTTTTTGATAAAGGGGATCATGTATTGGGAGTATTTATAGACCTTACAAAGGCATTAGATACAGTTGACCACAACATCTTACTATCAAAATTATGGTATCAAAGGACTAATGTATAAATGGGTAAAAAGCTATCTGAGTAACAGAAAGCAGTTTATAATAAACAAAGACTCAAGTGTTCTTGATATTGAGTGTGGGGTTCCTCAAGCCTCAATCTTAGGACCGTTATTGTTTTTAATTTACATCAATGATATGCATAAAGCATCATCTATAGTATCTTCAATAATGTATGCTGATGACACAACTTTATTTTATAATCATAGTAAGTTTAAATTTTCCAGTTCAGTATTCATTGTTTCGATGTTCGAAACAATGAATACTGAACTGGAAAACTTTAATTTATGGTTTAGGGCAAATAAACTGTGAAAAAACCAACTACATATTATTTCATAAAACAGGTCAATGAATGTCTCTACCGTTAAAAATTCCATAATTGCTCACTAACAACATAACAATAAAACGGGAAAAATATGCAAAGTTTCTTGGTGTTCATATTGATGAAAATTTATCATGGAGAAATCATATTGGACACATTGAAACAAAAATATCATCTGCAATAGGTATTTTATATGAATGTCGCCCGTTTCTTGATTTCTGTTCAAGAAAAAAACTTAACTTTAGTCTAATTCACAGTCATCTCACATATGCTAATATAGTGTGGGCTAATACACACAAAACAAAATTAATCAAACTACAAGGCTTGCAAAACCATGCTTGTAAAGCAATTCATTATCTAGGTAGAATGGACAATCCTTCCAATGTGATGACAAATATGAAAGTCTTAAACTTGGAATAACTTAATCTATATCAGATTCTTAAAGAATAATAAAAAAAGCAAATAA